CATTTGTTGAATATCCAGCAGGACATTATCCGAGAAACTGAAGAATGACATCGCATGAGCAGGAATTGCTGCTTGAATCACAGCCTTCAATAAAATTTCTTTTCTTGCTTGAGATAATTGCTGCATTTTCCAACCATTAATCCATTGGAGAACCCTTTCTTTGGTAGAATTAAAGACCTCGCTTTTAGATCTCCCAACTATATATAGCAGGCAACCCCAGGTACTTTTCATGTGATTATATATGATTCATTGATTTATATCCTTATCATACTAAAATTAATGCTAATATCGATCAGTGTTTACTTACCATGCCAATGCCTTTTGCTTTTGACCATTGTTCTAATCTACATGATATATTTCCTCCGTGAAAAATTTGAGAGGCTCTAATTATCATCTGCAATCCCTTAGAAAAATTAAAAGCTAAACAAGCATTTCAATACCCATTGTTACGAAGAAGTAAAATTCAGATCAAAATAGGCTGGGGTGTGACGGTACTTAGCCTGACCTAGTAATAAACATATGGATGCTCTTATTGGTACAGTGTGAAGACTTGATCGCCTTTTGATTAATGTGGAAACGGCCAGGAAACTACTTGAGTCATCTACTTTTGCTCACTGAATTTATTCTTAATCATCCATTTAACTTTTGAAATGGTACACTTTTAGTTATATCAAATCTAATTTTAGGGTTCCATTTTTGTAATCTCATGCTCGCGATGGGGATGTGATGGTTAAAGTTAACCTCTAAATTCAACACAGGGCCAAAAGCATATTTTTTTTTTTCTAAAATTAAATAAGTCGACATTTCAAATAAAGATAAGGTAGCTACTTTACTCAGTGCTCTCAAAAACCTGCTTTTATAGAAAAATTGCATGTTAATTCATAATTTCACCGTGACAAATATATGTACGATGAATTACATCAAGTAAAAGGTAATTAAATACGAATTATTTGTAAGAAACAGGATGGGAAAGACTGAGCAATAAACTTTTCTTCTTTATTACACTATGTAAAAACGGGATGGCAACTAAGGACCAAGGGACAAACAGAATCTAAAGTTTTCACACACCTTTTCTCCCCTGCTGCGTTTCTAGATAGAAAGGGTTCGATGGGAGCAAGAATTTTAAGGAACATCTAGAGCATTTTGGATCCGTTTGGTTAGCATTATTTGAAACAAAAGAATTCAAATATTATTCGGCTTGCATCATAAATATAATTTCCAATTATGTTTTTATCCCACATGTATCACATTATAAAAAGTACTACCATGTAATTTCAAAGCCCTCTTCCAAAAAATGAATAAATAAATAAAAAAATATTCCTTCTATTTCATTGAAAATGTCATATTTTTCATTTTGAAATGTCCCAAAATATTAGTCATCTACTTTTGCTCATTGAATTTATTCTTAATCATCCATTTAACTTTCAAAATGCTATACTTTTAGTTATACCAGATGTAATTTTAGGGTTCCATTTTTGACGGAGGTGAGGTAATCTCATGCCAACCTCTAAAATTCAACACAGGGCCAAAAGCATATTTTTTTTTTTCTAAAATTATTAGTCGAGATGACAAGGACAGGACCAAAACTATTTTCCTTTTACAAATTGATACAAAAAAGAAGATAGTTTATGTTGGCTTATACTTCTATTTACATCAGGAAGATGGAGATTCAATAATGATACTCAACTCAATTCGCAAGCGTCAAGCAGAAGCTTATGAGGTCTACAACTGATACACGTAGGGCAGATTGAAAATTGAAACTCGGATAATTACAGAAAACATGACGATTGATAGAGTAGAATTATTAATTGGGCGTATGAGTTTTCGCTTCTAAACGATCACAATTTTCGTCTAATGAACGAGTACATGGGGATCGTGTCTCACAATAATGTTGATCTTTTAAGATGTCCAAAATTTCACCTACAAACGTATGATGGAGACGGGCCTCAAAAGTTGAGGTTCCTCCGGTTCAAACTAATCGATCGATGTAATTTTTATAATTTTTTTGTGTAAATTTGTATAACTTGTATTTAAGTTTAAATTTTTCTACTCATACAACTAAGTAGGTGCATCTCTCTCTGTCACTGGGTTTTAAAGCTTCCAAGCTATGAAAGGAACAGCTGGTGTAATGGTATTGGCTTTGTTTTATCTCTAGGTGGAAAAGAAGAGAGGGAGGTGTCACTGGGTTTTAAAGCTTCCAAGCTATGAAAGGAACAGCTGGTGTAATGGTGTTGCCTTTGTTTTATCTCTAGGTGTCAGAATTGACTGGGTGGTAGAGTCGTGGAAACGCTTCTTTCTTCCATATTTTATTTGGGACCTTAACTCCATGGAACAATATGTTACTGCTGAAAGACGGAAGAATTGAAATCGTAGATCAAACACTATGTATGGGTGCTATGAGCTGCCTAAACAAGAATTCTTGAACAGCGAACAACCAGTTCAGATATTCACAACCAAGAACAAGAGAGATGCACCTACTTAGTTGTATGAGTAGAAAAATTTAAACTTAAATACAAGTTATACAAATTTACACAAAAAAATCTACAATTTTGAATGGTTAATAAAGAGTGATTCTTCTACTGATCCTCCGTCTTTATTGCTTCCTCTTTTCCAAGACTTCTTCTCAATTTAGATTATATCAAAGTGACGATCCTTTTTTTCCTGTTGAATGAATCCGTGTAAGAGCGGTTAAATAAAAATATATGAGATTTTTCCTTGATGAAAGTGAGAAATTACGAAGAATTGAAATTGGTGTATGAATTAATTTTGTTTATTTGTTTTTGTGTGCGAGTCTCTTTGTGTGCACTGTGCACGAACACTAGTGTGTGTAAGATTGGTAATCAATGATACAGTAATACTAATGAACACGACCAATCCAAGTCTGTGAACTCCAAGGAGATTCAATGCTTTGATGGCTCATTTGATTTATTATGCATTCCTTTCAAGAGTTTGTGTCAGATCTTTTCTAACATGAATTAATTACGCCTGTCAAATTTTTCTACAACGTATCTGAAAACCATGTGAGATTCCTAGCTTCCTCCTGGCACTTTTTTTTTGATCGGCTGCTTGCTACCATGCTGATTGTGCACGGTAGCAGGCTCTGATTTAAAAAAAATTGTGCACGGTAGCTTGCAACGATTTTTTTTTTTTAAAAAAAAAAATTTGCTATTGTGCTGACTAGGCACGACAGCTATAGTTTGGTACCACGGATTTGCCAGACCTACATTTGACGGACTTTTTTTTTGAGGTATAATCTAAGGAATTAGCCCACAAAATAGGCTGGGGTGTGACTGTGCTTAGCCTGACCTAGTAATAAACATATGGGAGAAAAAGTAGAGTATGCTCTTATTGGTACAGTGTGAAGACTTGATCGCCTTTTGATTAATTTGGAAACGGCCAGGAAACTACTTGAGTCATCTGCTTTTGCTCACTGAATTTATTCTTAATCATCCATTTAACTTTTAAAATGGTATACTTTTAGTTATATCAAATCTAATTTTAGGGTTCCATTTTTGACGGAGGTGATGTAATCTCATGTTTACGATGGGGACGTGAATCGTGATGGTTAAAGTTAACTTCTAAATTCAACAAAAGACCAAAAGTATATATTTTTTTTCTAAAATTAAATAAGTCGACATTTCAAATAAAGAGAAGGTAGCTACTTTACTCAGTGCTCTCAAAAACCTGCTTTTATAGAAAAATTGCATGTTAATTCATAATTTCACCGTGACAAACATATGTACGATGAATTACATCAAGTAAAAAGGTAATTGAATACGAATTATTTGTAAGAAACAGGATGGCAAAGACTGAGCAATAAACTTTTTTCCTTATTACACTGTGTAAAAAGGGGATGGCAACTAAGGACCAAGGGACAAACATTTTCCTTCCTTTCACATTTTGTGAAAGCGAGATGACAAGGACTGGACCAAAACAATTTTCCTTTTACAAATCGTAAAATGGTTTGGAAAGGGCATTTTATTTTTAACGAAATGCTGTTGCTTTTCTCCTACATACTGGCTTCTTAAAGAATGAATGTGTGGATTACATTGATTAATTAGCCAACTCATCTTATCAGGGAATCAATTCTTAAAGAATGTGTTTTCTCTACTGTCAGGTTTAAGATTAGATTCCCGAACCTTGTTATGTTTTCCGTAGGTACATTTTTCAATCACTTTTTTATCTTACATATATCAAATCGTTACAATAATTTTTTTATAAAAAGTTTAAAAAAATGCAATCCAAAGAAAGCTACATTGGGAGTGAAAAAGATGTGAAAGGGTTAAAAAGAAAAAAAACAAAAAAAAGAAGATAGTTTATGTTGGCTTATACTTTTGTTTACTTTAGGAAGATGGAGATTCAATAATGATACTCGGCTTAATTCACATTTCACAGGCGTTAAGCAGAAGCTTACGAGGTCCACAACTGATACACGTGGCTGAAAATTGAAACTCAGATAATCCCCACGGTGGCCAACTGATGATACACGTGGTTCACCAAAACATTCTGCTGTCCCCACGGTGACTAGTTAGAGGACCAACGTCGACGACGTTTACTTTTTAAGATACTTTGGATATGACAAAAGTGGGAATATTCCGTATTGATTTGCTCCATGCAGATCAGTAATGTCCAATCATCAAGTAATACAGAAACAGACAAGTAAATTCCAGATATTGCGCTTTTATCTTTTCAAGAGAAGATCCAATTATTTGCTTGACTGAAAAATAATAACATGATGTCGACATTTCCATAAAAGTCGAAACAAATATTTTATAATATTTCTATAATGTCGACATTTTCAAGTGTTATACATTCTATATTTTATAATATTTCAAAATGTTATTTTGTCAAAAAAAGTCAAAATGTCTTTTAATGTCTTCTTTCAATGTAATCCCTTCATTTAATCATTTATCTATATATATATATATATATGTTGTCATTTAAATTTGAAATTTAACTATGTAGAAATAAAATTGCAAAGAGGAGTACAAATATTACAATTAACTCACTATATTTATGAAGTTGGATTTCTGAAACATAATAAACAAATTGATACAGAGGGAGTAAAAAATAAAAAAGAATATACATTTCAAAGACAAACTTTATACTGTAAAACAACGTGACTCTTTTATCTCTGAATCCGCCACCCTGCCGCCAAATCTTGGCTGTGGATGGATGTTCAAAGCACTCCTATATACCTGTTTCAGAATTCACGTATAACTATATGTCAACAAAAGCATAAGAAAGCCACCAATATAAACTAAAAATTTCCAAAAGAAAGAAAGAAGTACCATTCTCGAGCGGAAGGACTTTTATGACGAGCCCTCCAAAGATAAAGATGGCGATAAATATCAGCTTGGCTCGGTAGTCAACGGGGAAGACCAACACAACCGGAATAACGGCGAAGAAAATTGAAACTTCGCCCATGAAACTAGATGCGTTGGGGTAATGGCGTTGTAGGTTAATAGATGCCCAATAAGCACAAAACATCAGCAGGATAGCCATGGATGACAACGGGAAGGTTGCAGGTACGGGTGCAAGCGTTTGAAAATATTGCAAGGCTATGCCAATGCTAATGGCTGTAAAACAAGGTCCAATCACCGCCGGTAGCGACTGCAAGTTCGTCGTGTTATTGTTATCAACGGTGACTCGATCATGAGGATCATCACCACCACCAGGTCGTCGATCGGCAGTAGGCCGGTTCTGCTGCCCCTCTATATCAAATCCTGCACTACGCTCGCGTTGGGCGGGGGGCAACTCAGGTTGAATTGACTTGACCCCCTTCCACAGGCGGATAAGGTGTCCAATGACTGTCGACAGCAACGGCAAGTTCGTCATGTTATTGTTATCAACGGGGACTCGATCACGAGGATCATCACCATCATCAGGTTGCAAGTCGGTTGTAGGCGGGGGCTGCTGCTCCTCTATATCAGATCTTGAACTAGGCTCGATTTGCGTGGTGGGCAACTTTAGTTGGACCGGCCTTTCCAGGACGAGCCGCTTGGCCGGCTCGATCATAGTGAAGAAGAAGTAGAGAACGTAGCTGAATATTGGCCAAGTTTTTTTTCTTTTTTTTTTTAATCAGGGAAATATGTTTTAGCTGCTGAGAAATGATCAAAAGTTATGAGAGTGTTTATAGGGAGGGATTTCAATTTTGATAGAGGGGGATGGGAATGGTTGGTGACAATGTCGGCTTTCCCACCAAACAGTCGCGGAACAGGGTCTGTCTTTTTTGTGGGAAGGGGGGGGGGGGGGGGCGGAACAGGATCTGGCTTTTGGAGAGGGGGCAAGTTCGGCTTAAAAGTTAGGGACATGGGCTTTCCTAGCAAATGGTGGCCGAGCAAGGATCTATTTATCGAGAGGAAAGTGGTGCATGCCCGCTGCTGTTCAGCCCCTTCCTCTGCCATTGCCACCAAATTACTGTTTCTTCTAGAAATTTAGACGCTTGCCAAATTACTGTTCTTCTAGAAATTTGCCTGCCAAATTACAGCCACACCACATGGGTTGGATTACGCAGAAAAATGCATTCAAAAAGCTCCGTTAATTTGGACATGCATAATGCGAATTACAAAATATGTCTTCATTTATGATATTGGTTGGGAATATTTTCTGCTACCCGTTGTTCTGCATCTGCAGTTGGGCGTGCAATCTGAATTTTGTTGCGACCCGGCAAGTTGCAAGTGGCCAGTTAGACTGTGAAAGCAAAATACAGTCTACTTTGTTGACTTTGGTTACCGCTGCGTGGCTTGGGACTTCTTTTTTTCCGGAGACGAGAGGAAAGTGGTGCATGCCCGCTGCTGTTCAGCCCCTTCCTCTGCCATTGCCACCAAATTACCGTTCTTCTAGAAATTTAGACGCTTTTCTTCTAGAAATTTGCCTGCCAAATTACGGCCACACCACATGGGTTGGATTACGCAGAAAAATGCATTCAAAAAGCTCCGTTAAATTGGACATGCATAATGCGAATTACAAAATATGTCTTCATTTATGATATTGGTTGGGAATATTTTCTGCTACCCGTTGTTCTGCATCTGCAGTTGGGCGTGCAATCTGAATTTTGTTGTGACTCGGAGGGGACTGAAGTGAACCATCACCGGACCAAACGGGTGCACAACATACCCGCTTGGATTTTTTGAAGCAAACCACTTAAATGTGACATTTTGGTGGGAGACAAGGTTTTTAAGTGGCATTTTGGTCCCCACCAAGCTAGGTGGCTTGGGACTTCAAAGAGGTCGAATTCGCGTAGATTCCTAGCGCAGCAACGTTGACGAGGACTAACGTTTTTGGATAATATCCTTTTAACTCCCTTGAAATGACTTATATATATATATAGGGATAATTTTAGAAACCTCCCTTGAGCTTTTCGGCAATTACAGAGAGATCTCCTCAAGTTTCAAAAATTATATCTACTTTCCTTGATTTTAAGGTTTATGTAACAATATAGACCCAATAGTCTATAATTTTTTACAAATATCCTAAAATACCCTTCTTCTAAAGAACAAGACAAAATAAAATAAGGTTTTAATTTTTAACTTCTTGTACATGGCATACTCATTAAAGCAAACAGAGTCTAGTGACTCCAATTTATCTCAAAATTCATTACTTGTTAATTTTTGCCTAATGCAACTCACTACTACCACTACCAATACTAAACCAAAAAATGCCTCTATGTCCCTAAGAACATAATTCATCATTTCTTTAGCACTCTTAAAAATAGAAACAAAATTCTACCTTCATAGTAAAATCACAATCAATAGGTAAATAAAAAAGGGAACCAATGAGTTTTTTTAATTGCTAGATTTTTTTTTGCTTAACAAACATAATAGTCACTTCTTTATCTTCCAACTCTCAATTTCATTTTTTTCCCTATATCACTGCCACTTTTTTCATCTTTCCCCAGTTTGACAATAAAATTCATAGTCTACACCTTGTTAATTTGGTAACTTCAATTGACTAACATTTGTAAAGAGTAAAACTATTAAAAAAAAGAAAGTGTCTAAAATTTTTGTTGTATACGAGAGACAAGAAGACAAAAAAAAATACAAATAAATTTTGAAAATGGTAAAAAAGTGATAGTGGTGTGATTAGTAACAATGGAGTGCGGTATTTGGTGAGAGGGAGAAGCAGTTGTAGGCAATGTTTTAAAATCCGGACCGTCAATTGAACCGGTGAAGTGAAAGGGTCGAGATTCAACCGGTCGAACCGATTCAATATCGGTTTTATGAAATTTTTAAAAAATAATTTATATAAATATATATATGCACAAAATAAGACATGCAATAGATTAATTTAAAACTTTATATGATGAAAAGTTTACTATTTTTGAATAACTTGGATTTTTAAAAATAAATTTTTTAAATTATAAGTTAAAACAAATAAATTTCATTTTAATTTCAATTATATCTACCAAAATAATCTTAAATCTAACCCAAAAATATCACAATATTTTGAAATTATACAGAATTCACGTCTATGAGAATTTGACATTGTGAACTTAAATTTTAATTTACGTCTTTGGGATTTAGAGATTGCAATTTAAAAAGGAAAGTTTGGAGTTCGAAGGAAGTCAAGAGAATCGAAATAGAAATGCAAACTTGATAAGAAACAAAAAATGAGATAAAAGTGAGTGGTTGTAGCATTAAATAATTTGGGTTAAAAAAATAATTCTTTTTAACTTTTTTCAATTTAATGGGCAAAAACAAAATTAAAAAGATGGAAGAAAACATCAATAAATTAAAACTAAAGAGGTTTGATTAAAAAAGGAGTGACAAAAAAAAGAGGAGAGAGAGTGTGTGTGTGTGTTGAAGATTAAAAAGAAAGAGTCATGAGAGAATGAGATTTTGTAAGAAAAATGAAAAAAAGAAATATGGATGTTTGTTTTATATATATAAGTTATCAAAAAACACAAATAAGATATGATGGTGCAATGGTTACTATACTGGTCTTCTGTTACAAAAGTCTTGAGTTCGAATCTTGATAGAAACATTTTGCAAAAAGGGGAAACTTGAAAACCGGTTCGATCCGGTTTAGCGGTTTTCACGGGTTTGACTGGGTTTGACCGATTTTTTGACAAAGTCAACACTACCATAGAACCCGGACCGGTGCCATGGCCGGTTCGCGGTTGAACCGGTCGAACCGCCCGGTTCGGTCCGGTTTTCAAAACACTGGTTGTAGGAGAAAAAGAGAGAATAGTATGAAAGAGGAATGGAGGGAGGGAGAAAGAGATGAAAATTAGAAAATTGATGGAGATTGTTCTTTGAGATTAGAAAATTACAAGTAGAATAATAAGGAGTATTTTTCGACTTTAAATGTCCCTTTATGAATTAACTATTAAGTGGGGGACATATTAGTCTTTTGATTGGACCAAGGGAGGTCTATCTAATTATTGGAACCTCGGGGGAGCTAAGTGAAATTGTCAAAAACTTCAAGGGAGGTTTTTGAAATTATCCTATATATATATATATATATATATATATATATATATATATATATATATATATATATATATATATATATATAAACACATATATTAGTCGTTCCACTCATAAAGAGATGACTTATATTTTCTTTTTATTTTTTTTAGCACAGGAGGGATTGAATTTAAGAAATGAAGATGAAACATGTTGAAAGAGGTTAAATTCATGTAGTTTCCCACCACGTTGATGAGGATTAACATTTTTGGATTAGGATTTAAGAAATGGGGAAAGAATAAAAGGAATTGCATCTAAACCTCTAACTTCAGAAATCTCAACCTTAACCATTAAATGAAGGCCTTATCAGCAAGAAATGACTTCTAAGTTTTATCAAGCATAATCAACAAAATATTATGGCAGGAATAACAAAGTATATTACGTATGCATATTACATGAAACTTATCACAAAAGCCCAATTAAAGATTTGGTAAACAAATAAGTTTGGAAAAATTAGGCATTAAATCATGTTGTAGTGGTACATGTCCTTGACAAAATTATGGAATTACAATTCCAGGTTTCACCTATTTCACCTATATTGAAAATTAATTTTAAGTTAGACATTTGAATATCACGTATTAGACTAATTACATTACTCATGAAGTATAATACATAAAAAAAATTAGTTTGAGTATTTTTGATATATGTATAAAAACATACATGATATAGAGTTCTTTTTTAATCATAATTGCCGAGGTGTAATATGAGTTTTTACTACATATGTTGTCGAATCTTAATGAATACATAGCAATATTAATGAAAAAAAAAAGTTTTAGAAAAGCTTAGCAATATTAAAGTATTCTTATTTCCAATATCTGTAGCCAAAACTAAAGCATTTTTTATTTCCATAATTTCTAAACATATTTCAATTATAGGTATGATTTTGTATGCTTAATTTTGCTAAACTTGTCCTTTTCTGCTGAATTTGTAAACTCAGCCAAGGAAAGAGAAGAAAAATTGCCTTTCTCTTCTTTCTCTAGTTTGAAATTCTCCTAGCTAGTTAGTGAATTAGGATTTTTCTTGTCAATTTATCTGTTGAGATCTTGACTATAAGTTAGCACTTTTTTTAATTTAAGCAGTTTCACATTTGAAGGTTCGGGTTAAAGGAGTGCATGTGGATCACTATTAGAGGCCGAGCACGCATGCAGGTTCAATGCATCTCTTAAAATTTTCCCTACATTAAATCTCCATCAATTTAAGAAGATTTTCGCTTATTGAGATAGTCTTAGTTATGTGAAATTAATCACGATCTACTTCAAAGAATCAAGCTCTTAGTTATAGGAAATTATTATTTTTCTGCTGCAGAGGGATCTGATGTGAATTAAGGATGAACCTGTTCGGCTTTGGAATTAAACTACGAGCCCCAGTCCAAGAAACCATTATAGGGTTATTATTTCATATCATTTCTTTAATAATTTTATATATTTTTATAATTATTTTCAAGTTGGTTTATCCACGCTTGTTGATAAACTTTAACGACATATTATTGTTGGTTTATCCACGGTTTCTGGAGCTAGTTCGAGGGTTTTCTTGGTTCTTTTCTTTCTGTTTTTTCAATCTCATCTAGAACGTCTAGTCTACTGTTTTCTTGGTTCTTTTCTTTCTGTTTTTTCAATCTCATCTAGAACGTCTACTGTTTTCTTGATATCGCTTCAATGTCGTAATAAAACACCAAATGTTAAATCTAAAAATTACCAAAAACTTGAATCTTTTTTGGACGGTGGTATACTGCCAAGTACCTATGGTCGTCGGTTAGATGCCAAATCGAATCAACAGCCAACATCACAATCCACAGCCCCCCGCCCTCTCCCCCTTCCCCTATTCCCCATCCAACAAGTGAACAAATTAAGAAGATCCAAATTTCGTGCTCTTGTAGGTCCATCTAGTACAGAAATGTTAGCTAAAATTGATGCGCATTTTAACCCATTCTAGTGGCTGAAACACGCTGGTTTGATCTGTAATATTCCGTCTCACATTAAGAAGTTAAATGCCATGAAACAAATCTATGTGTCGTGTCTTAACACTCCTCCATTCTTTGGTCTAACGATGACAAAATCCCGAAACAAATGTATAAGTTGTGTCCGAACACTCAAATTCTTATTTAGAATATCCATTTTGATCCAACGATGACAAAATTCAAATAGTTGGATTTAGTTGTTGAAACCAAGCATAAAATTCAAATAATTAAGTGCAAATTACACTTTATCCCCTGTGATTTAGTATTTTTGTACATAAACCCCCTATAGTTTTAAAAGTTATACATAACCCCTCATAGTTTGGATTAAAGTGTTAAAGTAACGGAATTTGTAATCCATAACAGAGTCACCTAAAATATCAAAAATACCCCTATGTAAAGTTGAAAATTATTTATTAACCACAGGGAGATTATGTGTATATTTTGAAAACAATAAGAGATTATATGGTAAAGTATTAAATCATAAGGGGCTTATATAGTAAAATATAAAATCATACGGGGTTAGTGCGCCATGTATATTATGTTTATATTTTTTGATCATTTCAATCATTTTAATTTTTAAACAAGGGCAATTTCGATATTTTTAAAGATTCCGTTACGAATGATCATTTTCATTATTTTGACATTTTAATTCAAATCATGAGAAGATTATGTATAACTTTTAAAATTATAGGAGATTTATATACAAAAAAATATAATTTGGGGGTAAAATGTAATTTGCCCAATCATTAAACTTAGTTGTTGAAACTGTGATGTGTCTTGGACATGCGAGTACACTTCTCTAAATTGGGTCAACTAAATGCATGAAAACTCCCTCCTTAGAGATTACGGTTTTCTCAATTGCAAGGCAGTCTCGCGCACCCAAAACACGAGCAACATCGTGCCTGAAAAGAAATAGCACGTGCTATGCTACGATGGTTAATCGAACATCCACGTTTATTCTGACGAGGTCACACAAAACATAAAATGACGGGTTAATTCCACTTTGTCCCCCCAAACTTTGGACAATTATCCACTTAAGTCCCTAAACTTCAAAATGGGACACTTAAGTCTCTAAACTTATAAATACCTCCCACTTAAGGAAAATTGTTAACAAATCCTGAATGCTGTTGGTGGTCGAAGTGTCCCATTTTATAAGGGTTTAGGGATTTAAGTGTCCCATTTTATAAGTTCAGGGACTTAAGTGGGAGGTATTTATAAGTTTAGAGACTTAAGTGTCCCATTTTGAAGTTTAGGGACTTAAGTGGATAATCGTCCAAAGTTTGGGGGGACAAAGTGGAATTAACCCTAAAATGACAGATATCGATATTTATTAACCAGTGAGCAGCCACCGACAAGGGATTTAAGTCCTTCTTTGAACGGTAGATTGAAGGTTCAAATCTCATCTATAATAAAAAAAAATTCAAAAATAGTGTCAGAACACTCCATAATCTAATCAGATATATATATAATTGTACCTCGAAATGAAAAGGACATAGCCCATAAGGTAGACACAAGAGGCTGATCTTACTACCTCTAATGATGAGTGGTTTTTTTTTTTTGACATGTACATTTAAATAATAACTAACTTATCACGTAAATACCATATCATAATTATTTTTTTCTGCATTTAGACACTTCTTAAGTTAAACTTGACATTTAACAAAAAAATTTAATAGCTAGTATCCATTTAGCACCCTTTCGTGTACACTTTGTTTGGATGTTACATTACTTTTCTCCACTAAAATCTAGAAAAGAAAAAGTCATACTAGTACTATTCATTTCTACAAGTAACCTTCTAAGGTCAAAAGTAGACCATATTGCTTCGCTAGAATTTTATTGTTCCACAGGTCCAGTTTATGGCTAGTTGTCTACTGGTAGTCTCTTTTCTTTCTTGGTCAGCAGTTTTACTTTTCTCATTAGTATCGAGTTCAAATTAGGGCTGCAAACGAATCGAGCCGCTCGCGAGCAGCTCGAGTCAATCTCGAGTCGAGCAACTCGAGCTCGAACTCGAGTTCAGAATATTAAGTTCGTTAGCTCGCGAGCCGACTCGTGAGATTGAGTATATATATATATATATTTTTAGTTTTATTTTTATTTAATAATAAAATTACGTATATTATATATATTTTTTTTTAATTTTTATTTTCATAGTAAAATTACGCATATATCCTTAATATTTTATTATTTATTAAGAAAAAAATATTATTTTATTTATTTTTTAAAAAATAAAATAATTATTTTTTATTTTTTTCGAGCTCTCGAGCTCGAACTCGAGCTCGGCTCGACTTGATTCGAGTTGAGCTCGAGCTTGAAAATTGCCGGCTCGTCGAGCTCGAGCTTGGTAAAATTTAGTCGAGACTCGGCTCGATTAGCTCAAAACTCGACTCGACTCGGCTCGTTTGCAGCCCTAGTTCAAACATAAGTGACTCTACCAGAGAAAATATGTGCTACGCTGAATTTTTTTCCCCTCTGGTATAGCTGACAGCTGTCGATTTCTTTCCTCTACCTACCTATTATTATCTTACATATATATAAAAAGCTAAGACTTCTACTCTCAGGTTTAGCCACGTGGTGGCCTGAGGGGAGGGAGAAAAAATTTCTTTCGTTTATGCCCTGAGAATCTTGGGCCTGTTTGGAAGCAGGTTTTTAAGTAAGTTTTTTAACAACTTTTGCTACAGGATTCCAAAAAACTTTTCAAAATTTTTTACCTACACACTTCAAAATACCCAAAACACACAAAAAAAATTCCCTTCCCTTTTTTTTTTCTTTTTCCTCCCCCATCCCAACCCACCACCACCTCCGTCGCTGACCACCACGTCCGGCGCAGGCGACATTTCCCTTTTTTTTTTTGGCCTTTCTCCCTCTCCCCCCCATCCTCTCCCTTTACCCAGTTTGTATGACCCTTTTTTTTTTTTAAAAAAAAAATTCCCTTCCCCCACTCCTCCCCCATCACCCTTCCCCTTTCCCTCTGTCCGATTTGGTAGCGAGGCTAGATAGCACCGGGGAGGGGGATTTTTCCACGCACCAGATTGCGGGGAGGGGGAGGAGAGGGGAAGGCTGAAAATTCCAAAAAAAAAAAAAAATTGACTGGCTCGTGGAGGAGGTGCGCCTTAACTGCCAGGCGAGGGAAGAGGGAGGGGGAAGGGCAAAGGGGATGAGAAGGGGAAAGGGAGGAGAGGGGTGGCGGGAGATGGCATTGGAGGAGGTGCTGGTGGAGGAGCTGATGGTGGTGCTGGAGTTGGAGGAGGTGCAGGTAGTGGTGGTGGTGCTGGTGGTGGCGTTGGAGGAGGTGCTGGTGGAGGAGCAGGTGGAGGAAAAGGTGGTGGTGCAGGAGGTGGGGCTGGTGGTGGAGTTGGGGGTGGAGCAGGCGGGAGAGTAGGAGGAAGGACTGGTGGAGGCATTGGCGGTGGTGCCGGAGGTGGAGCAGGTGGAGGCGTGGGAGGAGAGGCTGGAGGAGGCCTTGGTGGAGGTTTGGAGGTGGGGCTGGTGGCGGAGTAGGGGGTGGAGCAGGCTGCTGCGTTGCGTTGGTGCTACTGCGTTGCATTGGTGCTGCGTAGAAGAAGAAGAAGAGAGAAAGAAAAGAGAGAGGAAAGAAAGACAAAGAAAAAAGAAAGAGAAAAAGAAAAAAAAAGAAAAAAAAAGAAAAGGAAAAATAGTTTTTCCACTTTACAAAAACTTCTACAAAAATTTTTTCAAAAACTTCTACAGTGCACTACAGTAAAGTTTTAGATAAACTCCCAAAAAACTCAAGTTCCAAACAGGCCCCTTGATTAGTTCTCCGAACAGTGTATCATTAGTGATGTTATTTTTGTCTTGTTACATGAAATTACTAACTTGTCCAGAGAAAAATAACTAGCCCCAAAACAGTAACTAACTATTGAGGGTTATTTCTGACTTTTTCCGCATATTCTTTTGCTTTACTTCTCAGTCTTTCCCGGCATTAGCTCTGTTCTCCACTTCTTGTTTGTCTCCATTATGCAAGACAAAAAGCCAACAAGTCAAACAACTTTAACACCGATGGCAGGAAAGCAACACACTCTATTTGAAGTTCATTTTACAACTTTAGCCCATCATTTTTTTTCTTCTTCCTTTCTCTCTCTTTGTTTCCCGTTTCTCTATTTTTCCTTTCTTCTCTTTCTGGTTCAACGAAGAAAAGTGACAAGAAGCCAAAAAGTCAAACAACTTTAGCACCGATGGCAAGAAAGCAAAACACTCCATTTGCACTTCATTTTACTTTCCCCACTTTTCCTTCGCTTTCCTTCAGTAATTAACCAAGAAAGACCTTCACAAATTTCAATCGATGTCCCAAAGATCACAACTTTCGATTTACTTTCACTACAAAAACTAGAATGATTGAAATGAGATGACTATGGTGAAAACACCCATCTCCTCTTGTGATTTTGTGAGTTTATAGCCATTGAATTTGTTTCTTTGTTGTTTTATATTGACTACAAATTGATTGTTTGGTTCCTAACGCTTGTTGCCATTTTGTAGGAAAAAGTTGCAGATTTACTTCTCAGTCTTTCCCATCTCTTGCCTTTTTTTTTTGGTCTAAGAAAGCGGTAACTAGCATTGTCCAGAAGTGGTTTTGACTTTTTGCCTAGCATTCTTCCCCTCTCCTTCCAATTGTTTTAGCTTCGTTTTCTTTTTGCTTGAGAAGAAACATGTTTGCAGATTTCATTTTGTTGTCATGTTCAATTCGAGTGTGTAGGTCTATCATGGCTGAATTGTAGTCTTAGAATCTATTGCTCCAATATTTTTTGATAGAACAATGCATTCTAAGACTTACACTTACTAGGACCTACCTCACCTGCTAATGACTGCTATTAGCAGAGCCACAAAGTTGTAAATCGTAGCTTGACGAGCTGAAAACGCAGTATTAGAGTCCACTGCTCCAATATCTTTTGATAGAGCAGTGCATTTTAATACTCATATGTCATATAAGTCTCTCTAGCAATGAATAATATGTACAGTAGATCTTTACATTCCTTTTCTATATGCTACAATTTTTGCGCCCGAGTTTTGTTGTGTTTCACCTGTTAATCATACTTTTCCAATTGTAAGTTTGTTTGCTTTCACTTATTAACTCAATGTATCCTTTATATGATTATAATAGAGCTAACTAATCGATAGATTGCTATGTATTGGAAACAAAAGAGTAAGCATTTCTTTCTACACCTTACAAATGAGTAAACAGGGACAATTTTTATTTGAAATTCTCCAATTGATGATTACTATTGTTCAATATTTATTGTACAGGCTTTTATTCTGTTTGCATCCTCTTATAGCTCACTATACCTGAAGATATTCAGCTTAGATTCTTTCCTATTAAAAAAACACATTTCAATATTTTTTACACAATACCTTGGCCATTGGCTGTGTCTTGCACAGCCAGAAATACTCTAGTTATTATATAAAAGAACAACTTAAGTTGTCCATCTATTGGCAAGTGTCAAGCTCTTATTGGAGGAAGGAACTTTGTTTTAAAGAATGATAAATGTCTATTTGAGACTTGGTCTTACAATTGAGAATTTCAATACTAGCTTACTATTTAGGGGTCAATTGATAGTAATGGATTAAATATATTTATTTTTTAATTTTGTTTGTGTTTTAATAAGCGTTAAAAGTCAGTTGCGTCCTTTCGTGAAAGGTGGTTGTGTGAATAGTTACTAACTATTTAGGACTATTTTTGTACGTTTGAAAATATTTCCTTCTTATTTTTCTGTTTCGATGCAAATAGTTTGATACTGTTTGTCGTTTGACCTAAGCATATGGGTTGGTTTTAGGCCTCTCACTAATAAGCCATTTGCATTGTTGGTATCACACAACCCTGATAATTAGTTTTACGCTTCTGAAGAGTCTTCTTGTAGCTTCATGAGATCGAAAATCTCTTCTTCTCCATTTCTTCCGCTCAGATAACCGAATATGAACCTGCAAAACATGCTACCGTTCTACTAGTTTTCTGAACAAAGCATTGTACTTTCTTTCGATTAGAACCACAAAAACTCTCCACAAGAATCAGCTTCTTTTAGGGATTGTACTTGGTTTGAATTTACCAGAGAATTCTTCCTTTTTTCTGCTATGAAGTGATGTTTTCTTTTAGGAAACAATTTTTAATTATCTATGGTACGGTTTCTAAAACACCCCACCATATATACAAAAGGGAGAATGGAAAGGAGAAACGCTTTAGATGTTGGTTCTTTCTTTCATCACTAGCACGGGTCTGGCCATGCTACGCAGCGGCCTACTCACTGATATGATCAACTAAATCTGTAACAATGAGAATAATTTGCTAAAAGATCATAATGTATATATAGGTTTAAGAGGTAAATAATATGCAAATCACAACCATACATTACATAAACTAAGTCATTCATGTCTTAGTAGAATACATACTTGAGTGCTAGCCACAGTTACATATTAGGAGGCTTAAATAAGCTTCATTGCCTATCGAATTACAACATTGTTGGTTAAACTATTAATAGTTATATTAGGATCCATTACTTTTTAAGTCAAAAGAATAATGGATCATAATATAATTCAAAACATATTGTCTAAGTAATGAAGGCAGGCACTTAGGTAATTAACAAAAGATTTAACAAAAGTACAGAATTAGGCCATATCAGTCTTGCTTAGCTTTAGCTTTCTTTGCTGGACTGTCTTTGATATTGCCAGGTGGACTATACTGTTTTGCAGCTTCTTTCGCAAATTGTTCAGGAGCCTTTGTTGCATGTTTAGCAGGTGTGTCTGCTGGTAAAGCTTGACTTTGAGATGGGCTTTCTGGAAACTCAAGGCTTCTTTTTGCTCTACTGGTTGTATATGTGCGGCTTTCTTTGCAAGAACTGGCTGCATCAATTTCTTCAAGTACCAACTTTGTGGTTGGTGTGAACATCTGATCCTTTGATGATTTTTCTGCATGCTTTGCTGATGAGCTGCCAAGTGCAGAAGAAACTTTAGTGTTTTCTGGAAGTGCTAGTGGAAGTGGATTATGCGATAGTTCAGTTGCAGTGTAAGCTTTAACGACATTATTCTTTCTCTGGAGTTGACCTTGAAAGGGAGTCTCATAGGATTTCAGAAAACAGACCACTGTGTACTTTTTCAAAGCATCATTAAGTTCAGTGTCTATTCCAAAGCCCTGCACTAGAAAATTTTTTTTGTTAGGTTTAGTGAATTGTTTTGTATGTATATTTGTATTTATGGTTGAATATAAGACAAAATTTTTACTTACATCTTCTTGTGCTTGCTTAAGTTGCAGTGGAGTGAACTCAATCATTTTTTCAGCATCTTCTCCAGATATAATGCAATGTATTGAGCTCGAAGCATTAGTTATAATAATTGGAATGCGAGCCCTTTAATTGAGTAAAGGAATTAAGATTAATATATGGTAACAAATTGGAATAATGTTTAATTTAGAAGTATAAGTTAATGGTCTAACCTGAGTTCAACTTCACTTTGCTGTTTGCATGAAGGACAATGGATGATCCAGTCAATGTCAGCATTTACAATTTTGTGACAATTCACACAAGCAGTAGTCCAATATTTGGTGAATCCATATGCAAGTTTGATAGTTCCTTGCACCCAAGCTGTCTTTTGCTGAGTGAACCAAGCATGAATGGTATTTGAATATAAGTTAGAGACAAAATAGTTATATTTAAGCGAAATTTTTAAATAACAAATGGCACTTACAACTGAAAATGATGCTTGAAAATTGCTGATTGCTTTGATATCTTCTTCATTTGGAGGAGGAAGTAAACAGTTTGGATCATTGTATGTTTTAGCATCAAGCAAATTTCTGATTTCTTCCTTGTTCAAACTAAACCTGAATGGTTATGTTTAGAGCACAAATAAAAAATTTACTAGTAAAATAAATTGATAATTTATGGTAAAAAATCAAAAGAAAATTATACTTACCATTGCCTGAAAGAGAGGTCATCTGGGAGTGGAGGATTTATCAGAATTCCAGATGAATACCTTTTAGTGAATGACAAAGCTGTAAAAATGATGAAAATTTTTAGTAATAAAACATATCAAGTATTTAGAAGTCAAACAGTAAAGCAATCATAATGCATAATGAAAATTTTACTATTGAATGTGGTCACTTTGACACGGAGAGCTATGATTAGAGGGGCAGTGCTAATCATGTCTGCTATTTTGCTCCCTTCATCATGTTCAAATTCATTCCAAAGAGTCATAACCATGAGTCTTTTCCTATCAGGTATAACAAAAAATTGTAACTACTATCATTAATCTAAAATGACTTAATAAAAAAGTAGTATTCAGTTTTGATTTACTGTTCATTCACTATTATAATGTCTCTAGAAGTACAATCTGGATTTGCTTGTTTTACTGGTAATGCCTGAATCACAAAGCCTCTAATATCTGAAATAAAAATATTGATATGAATGTAAGCAATCAATAAAATATCAAATGATTGTCAAGTAAATTTAAAAATAATGTAAGAAAAATTACTGCAAAGATTATCTGAATCAGCATATTTG